TTTCTTTGCTTTTTTCGCCACTGGGGCATTATTCAGCATCTCCACTTCCACTATGAACCCAGTCCAAACTCATCGTAATCCCTCGCTTTAAACAGCGGCTTATGATTATTGTGATCTGCCACATTCGAACTGCCACGATGTGATTGACTCGGCCACTCGGAAGTCCCTTCTCCCTACAAGGCTTAGTGCTAGGATTGTCACTTTCCTAATTGGGTTGTGGAGCAGAGCCAGGCGCGGTTTTCTAATCTTCTGCGCTCTGGCCTTTCGCGGCAGAGAACACAGGGGAGTTCAAGTAGTCACGTAATTCGTGTGTTGGCATGCCGCACCCAACTGCGAACGGCGCACACTGTGGAAGCTTCGTTCCTAGCATCCTAGGAAATCGTTTATGTTGGGTATAAATAGTGTTTGCACACCAGCACAGAATGCCAGCCTTGAAATTTGAAGGGAGCTTCTCCAATTATACACTGCTCCTCATGATTGTACAGCCACCTATTGTTTCTGCAAAAACTCTTCTCCTAAGATGTATTCGAAGAAGCCTCTATATGGAAAAGGTTGTAGGTATAAATGCTGTTTTGCACACCAGCACAGAGTTCCAGCTTTGAAATTTGAAGAAAGTTTTCTCCAATTTTTCGGAAAAGCCGCTCTGACCTATTCCGCATAATTATACAACCACCCCATACTTTCTTGTTGCCTTTCTTTTCTGCTCGAATAAACTTTTTGGTTATTATCCACACTTCGGCTTTAGGTGAAAACAAGATGGAAACCGTCATCATAATTTAAATGAAGGCGAATGGTAACAAAAATCATGAGAGAGTGAGAGGCAGTCGCACTGCTCTAATTTGGGCCAAGGGTACTCCCCAGGCGGCGGCAAGAAGGCAAGGTCGGCAGACGAGTCGCGGTGCGTGATGTGCGATGAAGGACGAGCAATGGGACATTCCATCTAGCCTGACGCGGTTTCCTCAGTACGCGCGCAACTCGTCCGCTGACTCGGCCTTCGCCGCGCGACGGGCCTCCTGGGGGGGGGGGGGGGTACCCTCGGGCCGAGTTTGCTTTGGAGTAAACAATTTCTTCGAGAATTGTGCAGGATATGGAGGATCTTTCTTTTCTTTTCAGATTCAGATTAAACGTCGCTCTCATAAGAAAATCAAACAGTTCCATCAAGTTGTGCTCGGAAATCAAACCTTATTTGAAACTTAATTCTCCAACAGGTGTCTGTTTGGCGTCTGTGGCAGAATTGCATGACGAGAGACAGCGAGAGACAGCTCTTTCAAGAAGTGGAAGCTGAGAAAACTAGAGTGAGGTCCGGTTTTTTGGCTGTCATTTCCTACGCCTTGTCTGCCTTTCTCGAAACATTTTCTTACTCTTGATAACTTCTTCTTATGAAGAAGCGTATACTAGAGATAAAGAGCTTTGGAAGTATCAAATAAGGTTTGATTTCTGACACATATTCATGAAGCTGTTTGATTTTCTTATGAGGCAGCATTTATCTGAATCCGAAAGCAAGGAAAGATTCAATTTTACTTCATATCCTGCACAGTTTTCGAAGAAATTGTTTTCGAAGAAATTGTTTACTCCAAAGCAAACTCGGCCCGAAATTCGGGCAGTGCGACTGCCTCTCAACTCTTTCACGATTTTTGTTACCATTTGCCTTTATTTAAATTATGATGACGGTTTCCCTCTTGTTTTCACCTAAAGACGAAGTGTGGATAACAACAAAAAAATTTAATCGAGCAGGAAAGAAAGGCAACAAGAAAGTATGGGGTGGCTTTATAATTATGCGGAATAGGTCAGAGCGGCTTTTTCGAAAAATTGCAGAAAAACTTCCTTCAAATTTCAAAGCTGGAACTCTGTGCTGGTGTGCAAAAGCATTTATACCTACAACCTTTTCCATATAGAGGCTTCTTCGAATACATCTTAGGAAAAGAGTTTTGCAGAATCCATAGGTGGCTGTACAATCATGAGCAGTGTATAATTAAAGTGCTCCCGTAATTGGGCTGGGCTGGAGGGGGGGGGAGGTGATGAGTATGGGGCCCATTTGTTCTCCTTCTTTACCACCCATGCCTATATGCTTTCAGATTTTGTGACTGGTACTTTAGTTTATGACTCCCCCCTCCAATAGCCTAATACGACCCCCCTTGTTGATCTTTGCGCAAGGGCGGTTCAGCTCAAGTGGGGGGGGGGAAGGAATCACAAAATATTTGAATCTGTGCAAGCCTAATACGACCCCCCTTGTTGATCTTTGCGCAAGGGCGGTTCAGCTCAAGTGGGGGGGGGGGGAAGGAATCACAAAATATTTGAATCTGTGCAACGCACGATTGACCTTGCCCACGACGTGTACCTTCAGCTCCGACTATAGTGTAAGTCAACAGTGAGTGCATGCTAGCATTTGGAATATCCAGATAAAGTTGCAAGAGGCTCCAAGTTACGGTTTGCTGGAGTCCCTCGGCTCAGCTCTGAGTCTTTACCATTTCGCCACAGCGCGCTCAGAATTTAGTCAAGTGAATTGCAAGAGGATTTTTTAATCGGCTGGCTCGCGCGTGCAGACAGTCACCAGCCGCGAGCAGTCAATTGCAGACCATTGCCTGAGTCGAGTCATAGTGTGCTGTCAACAGGCCTGAAGCCCATAACTTTTACGGTTCTCCTACAAGTTTACTTTGGTGCATTTTGAAAGTGCGCTATCGAAAGGCGGGACGGGCAAGGGCTGAGCGTTCGTAGTAAGAAAGTTCGCGACATTCTTAGGTACGTTAGGGCCGCGATACTCCATGTGCTCGAATACGGGTACTAAGAGCTTCTACACTGACAGAAAATGATTAGGATTGAGAAGGTTGCATCTAGAGACGTGCCATGTATAACCGCTGAACTTGTCTGAGTACTTTCCCAGAACTCACCATTCGCGATTGGCCGTGAGATTAAAATAATGATTTCCCTCACTCAGCGTCAAGCACTCTATCACTGATTTCGACCATCTACATGGTGCTACACTTTGGAATTCCTCCCGAAAGTATTGATATAGCGTGAGGGTTTGTGAGTATACCCATGCTCCTTATCTTTATCTACCTCTCCGTTTTGGCGGCTGCACAAAAACGGAAGGGACACACTTCCTAAATGGATGGAACAGAGGCGGCAGCGCTATTTTCTTGTCGTTGCTCGATTTTTAGTCTCATTTCTTGTCTCAACTCTCTGATCACGGTGCATAGTATTTGATATCTGCACGGATGAAAAGATTCTCTACCAATCCATTGAATTTGGCTCACTCAACCTCTACAGTACTACACCTTCTCGTATAAGATGTGATGGAACTAAAACACTTCCAGAAATGAATGAGATATTCATAACCAGGGTAATCTTTCTACATGGAGCTTCGAGTAGAAGTATTTCCCTGAATTTCTGGGTTGTAGTAATGCAACCGTGCAGCAAAATCTCACTCGCATTGAAGTGGTTGAAGAGACCAATGATTCAGAGTCCCATGACCATGCTTGCTATGATAACGTTCGTAGCAAACTGCGGCCGATAAAATAGTATACAACACAACACCAAAGCAACAACCAGGAACAGATCAGAATGAATATTTGCTAGAGGTTCCCATTTGCGGGTTACTGCCGATTTTGGCTAACCGGCTAATCACACCAAGCAGCTTCCCTGCAGCTCCCAGCACTTCTTTTACCCTGACGTACTCTCTAAAAAAACGATCAAAGACTTTATTTGCTAAAAAATTTAATCAACGTAGCGGTATTTCAGCTTTGTGACTGCAATACGGTTTTCACTATTATACGTGATTACAGGGAGAACGCTCGAGTTCGATGTAAGTGTTTTGCCGATGGCCTTAGTTGAGCAGAACCTGAAAGAACACTCACCTTTGCGAGCAGAATTTTCAGATTTTCGAGCAAAACCTTTTTTTACTATACCTGTAACCGGTGAGACGTTGGTCCGAATGCGCTTTGATCTCGACTCCAGCATACGGGCATCCTTCGTAGGCCCTGGCCGGAGGCTCCACAATTTCAACTTCGACATGTTTATCGCTTGGTGCCTTACGATGCAATCCTTATGCTCACTACCTTAATCCCTCCATGAGGGTAACAAACCTTAATCCAATAGGTACATCTCTTGTAGCCGTCAGGCTCTTCTCCGGCGGCGCTACCGTCTAGTCTGTCTTCAAGTTCTAGCCAGTTGTTTTCCGCCTCCAATTCTTTGCTGCAACCTTCCGGCTGAAACGAGCTCTAAAAGAGTTTGCGAAAACAGCCACAAACATGACCGGCACCATTGTTTGGCAGAACTGTCCACCGTATCCGCTAGGGCAGATGCATTTGGAGCAATCACGAGGATGAGGAAATCCACCATTCTGGCACTGCTTGTCTGTGCTTGGCTTATCTTTGCATGCATCTAAGACAATTTTCGTGAGCAAGAACTTTTAGATGCGGGATTCTTCCCCATGTGCCATGTTAATAACCCACCAGTGCATTTATAGAGCGTGTTCATCATGAGCAGATCGTAGAAAGAAATGATATGAGATCCTAAGGTCTCCGTGTACTTGGCATCGATGGGCTCCATAACGTTTTTCCCTCCTCCGATAGTTCCACTGGAGATATGGTTTTGTTTCCTTTAATTCTACATAAATTTCTTTGATAGAGTTCTACCATTGGCTCCCGTAGTGCATCACACTACCATAGTCGTATGCCAAATCGTAGTTATTGTTGGTTTCCCGTGTCTGCGATTGGAACTGCGCACGCCAGTCGAGCTAAACACTTTCTCGGTATGCCATGCACCGTTTCACCATTGTTAATAAGCCTTACTGGAATATTCGCTTCAAGAACACGAATAAATTGGTCACGATCGTGTCTCGCGTGCGTATGAAAGAATCCAAGAGTATGACCTATTTCGTGAGCTGCATGTCCGATCTGAAGCAGAAAAAAGAGCGAATATCACATTCAGAGACGCTTGAGCAGCTGTGCTGCTTCCTTTCCGACAACCACATAATCTCTACAACAAATTCATTATCTTACTTTAACACGTACCGTTTCGCATCTGTCGCCAAGTGATAGCTCCTGCATGATTCCGTTCGCCACTTTACCAACTTCAGAATGACATCCATCCCCCGCGATCACAACAAGAAAGTACTTGGCTGAAAGGGTGACATCCGAGAGATCCATACTCCTCTTCACCAGAAAAGGTCATTTGGTCAATCCGGCCATATGAAATGCTGTGTGCATTTCTATACTCATCTTGAGATGCTCAGCTTAGCAGTGCTTTTATTCTTCTTTATTTAGGAGTTGTGGTAATAATTTCCTTGCAGCCCTTAGTGTTTAGCGTTTTGCCTGTAATCACATGTAGGCGTCATTATGAGGGGTCTAAAAAAACATTACGCTGACGCAACTGGCGGTGGTCTTGCTTCTGGAGCAAGATGTTGGGAATCCGACCTCCTTGCAGAGATTGTTGTTTTTGATACGGATGAAGATCCCTCCGAATGCGTATTTTTTCTCAGAAATTGTCGCTTAAATCCACATCTTTGAAGAGCATGCAAGCAGATCATCTCAAGTTCACGCACTATTCGCCAAAATGACCATTACGCCAGTGGTGAAGATGCTTGACTTTCTTGTAAATACGATATTCCTGTTCGGGTGGTCATACTACCGCTACAGAAAAGTTTCCAGCCAAACGTAAGGTTTTGATTTAGATAAGAGAAACCAGGGCAGTTATGTGGTCAAAACTTCGACACCAGCTCTAGAGTTGACTGATTATGGACGAGGGAAACGGGGAGGAAGGTGATTCTGCGGAGGAGTATGATACCTTGTTTATCCCAGCATGATACAGAAAGGCACGCAAAGCACTGTTTTTGTGTCAGCGTATGGTTGGGGGAATTATTCTATTACCATCCTCCGGTAGAGGGTCGATGGATAAATGAGGGGTAACTCCCAAAATTACGAGATTATTTTGTTCGAAGGGAGATTTCGACTACCTCTTCACGAATATGTCACTTGTTTGACACGAAAATGCTGAAGGCGCCTAGTGTAGCTAGGAGCAAATATCGCCCAAATAATTTCAAATAATTTCGTTATTAACTTCCTTGTACAAATTCCTTGTACAGCTATACGCAAGCATGTTGAACCATGTCAGGACCTCTAGTACGTTAATATAGAAGGCCAACGGTCAGTTTCACCTTATGACCTTTCCTGGTTAGACCTTTACATATTTTAGTGTATCATTCAACTGTGCTCAGCATGCTCTGGCTATATGTATCTGAGTAAGAGGAATCAACATTGAGAATGAAGCTAATTTGGGAACAAATTGCAGGAATTGTTCAATTACGTCATGGAGAACACCCAACTTCTCGCCTGTTGCTCAAGTCTGCGTTCCTTCCTATGCAACGTCAACGTGTGTCGACGTTGATGTTGACGGAGGAACGCAAACGTGAACATGAGCTTCCCGCTGTCCTACGGTGCCTTTTTCTCGGAACTTCCAATGCAACAAATCAAGAGTACAGTGGAAGTTTGGAGGGGGGGGTCAGATGGCGCTACACAAAATACAAAATAATCACGAATACAAGAGGCGAAGTCGTACAAAGGTTTAATGAGGAATATTCAACTGAATGTCTTCGAATTAGAGGTGGCGGAATCATTGCTGGAGTACAGAAAAATAAAATCTTGTCGTCCATGGTACTATTGTTCGCATTTTGTGAACAGTTGTTTACGCTTCCGTTTTACTATAGTCGTTTGCCTATTCAAGAATAAAAATTAAAGTTTCAAGATAGCTGAGAAGTAGGTAAGGTTCAGACAATATTTGCTAAATTAAAGCATATCAAAACTTTCATGGACAACAGCGTTTGTGTCAGTTACGTTATTTATGATATCTCCGGTGTGATATTGGGTTGACCCATAACTTCCCAATTTCGGTTCAAATTCAATTTTCTTCATGTCAAATTAGCTTCATGATGAAATAAGTTAATATGTTGAAGAACACATCAGGACCTTCAGCCAGGATGATTCAGAAGCTTAAGTGCGCAAAGGGATAATTAAGTAGGAATCAAAATAGATCAACAACCAAACCCAACGATTTTGCCTTGCGACATTTTAAGAAGAACCTTGCAAGGAGCGCGGTAGGCAAGATCAGCGCTACGTTTGCCCCAGTCTTTGCTACTGATCGGGCACTGAGCTATTGGCTCAATAGCATACGCAAAGGCGATAGGAGCTGCAAAGTTCGACCTCATCACGGACCTCCAATCACTTTCGATGAGGACCGCTTGCGCTACGAATAGGAAGTGCATCCGACGCTATTAGCAGGAAACTGTAGCAAACATCTGGGCGCAGCCTACGCTCCATGAGTCGACACCTGAATGGAATGGACTGTAGCAGAATGAAGCCTCGATGGAAACAGCATGCATGGACTGACCATGACCGAGAAGCACGCCTGACCATCTGCAGAAGTTTCATTCTGCGACCGTATAGACAGACCCCCCTGGTTGGTCACCAGTGCAGATGAGTCATGAGTCCCCTACGATAACGACACGCGCCTCGCCCGGTCGTTATCGTACTACCTTGCAGCCAAGAATCGCATTGGTGTTACCAAGCTTAATCGCCGCTAGGACATGTTACTTTTCGGAAAATGATGGATGTTTATGGGTTTTCACCTATGACAAATGACAGCTTTATCACCAGCACTGAGTAAACCCAATAAATAACATCAGTCAAATGGACTAAAAGCTGTTGCGTTGCTTCTGAAGCCTACTTTGACATGCGCGCGGTAGGAGCGGAGTTAAACTGGTACATATATAACAGCCTTGCCAGCAAAAACGTAAGCATCTACGCCGAAAAGGTTGAAGATAACAGTTACGACGCGAATGGTGGGCGAGAAGTGACACTATCTGATCAAGACCGGTACTCCCTCGACAACAGGTTGAGTCCGCTAAGCCTTTCACATAAACAGAAAAGCAGCACTCAAGCTTCTGCTTTTGGAACAATCTCGGATGCAGATTATGAGTAGCGAAATAATAAAAACCCTGTAATAAAAGATAAGGTATTGTAGGGAAAAAGTAATTTGCTGAAAACCAGCGCTATGACTGGGCCTAGCCTCTGTTAAATGACAAATATTTATAGAAACCGAGAATATTAGAAGTAGTCTTACGCATCGGCTTGCTGACTCTTCCTTTAGGCATCTCGTACTCGGTGAAATTGATGCACGTATTCTGCATCCATAGATCCGCTGCTTTTTTGAAGGCATTTTTGGCCTTGTTGTCTGCAAGCAGAGATGCCTATTCAGCAACTTCTCCTAAGCATGGTTATAAGGGGCTGAGAATAACTAACTCAAAATGCTGAACATGTATGGAACTCCATCTGACCACAATTTTGCAGGCCATCCCTCAGCATTGAAAGCTTGTCTTTTAGAACGGTCTCCACTAATCTCCGCAGCAATCTCACCCTGTTGTTCCCTTAAGATAACATAATTTTTTCATTATATTCGAAGGAAAAAACAGCATTCTAACTTTGTAAGGACAATATCTCCCTGGAACAGTGCGCCTGCAACTCCACTTTTTATGTTGACCTCCACAATCGAGTCTCCCATTGGTTGAACTTCAGCATCAATTTCTCTTTTGAACTGGTGTGAATTAATCACTTCCTGCTTTTCAATTTATTATAGAAATAACTACCTTCAATTCTTGGAGATCCTTTCTCCATCCCGGAAATGATGTGGACAAGACTGCTGCCGAACACGCAGCCAAAAAGAGGACGAAAATAGGATTGTTCATTCTGAAAAGCTGAAAGATTCTGAGTAATGAAAAGAAAGAATGCTGGTGGTGAAGAATATTGCTGTTTCTTTTGCCCCGTATTTATATGGTGCTTTTCACCTCTGAAGTTGACACAGGTGTACGCTTTCGGTTTCGATACATGGACGTCAGCGATGATAAAAAAAACGTTTCAGTTTCTGTACTGGCAGGACTCTGCCATGTATGGAGAATCCAAAAGTGCGGCAAAACACTCGTGAACCAAATTGAACGGAATCCTTTATCATGCTGCTTTGCCGACAAGTTTGTCTTCATCCTTCTCGAATCCTAAAACATATGCATGGCTCACTTGCCAGTGAAATTTGGCTGCAATGTTGCACTGCACTCCTTCCAAAAATTCGCGTCAATCTACATAACCGTCATCTATATCTACTCAACTCGGCAAATAGTTTGAAAACTAAAATAGGCCAAAGTGCACTGGTACTCGCCATAAAAACTGCAAAAACCACGCAAAAAATGCCTCAGCGTTTTTTCGTTTTATCGTTATAACTCGGTTGAAAATTGATATTTTCGAAATCTGGAAACGGTATTGAACTCAGCTCGTCGAGTTCTATAAAGAAGTTGTCCTGAAGTTTTTTAGAGGCACTATCTTGGTTGCGCCATCTAAAAAAGTAGTTGCTCGCATGTGATCCTACTTAATATAAGGCGCTTCGTCTGTCGTCTGTCTGTCGTCTGCCTGTCGTTCTGTATGTCTGTCACGAAATTCCCTAGCTCCTCGGGATCCGCCTTGGAGGGACCGGGTCAAGTGTGGAATGGGTGGGCAAGGGTCTCACGTAATACAAAACACACATCAGCTAAGCGGAGCCCCGCCCACAGAGGGCGTGGCGTGCGTCGAAATGAATTGTACCAAAGACCAAGATTTCGATTTCAGTGAAAAAACGACCTCGAAACTGGGCCAAAAAGTGGGCTAAGGTGTGCATTGGTAAGCCACATCGAATTAGGAAGCCCACCCCCAGGGTCAACCGTCACGTTCGAACATTTTCGGGATTTTTGCGACCCCCTGTTTTTGTTAATAAGAGTGCTAGACATGAATCCGTTGCGCCAGAAAGCGTCTGTGCCGCCGCAGACAGCGTCTGCATTGCTGCGTCAGCCTTGGAGCGCGGCAGGTATCACCCGGGCGCTGGAAGAACGGGACGCGGCGAAGAAAAAATTTTAGAGGGAATAACTTTCTTGGGACGTACTTTTTTGACTTGTTGAGGTAGATTTTGATTGTGCCTGAGGTGCGCTTTCAGAAAACTACAAGGATTGCCTAACTCTCCGGAAAGTACTTCTGTTAGAAGTGGAAAACCCAAAATTCTAAGAAGGCGCACCTTCAACTTTGAAGGCCCATAAAATCTTTCGTATGCGACATTTTGGAAATCTGTAAAAAGTTTCAGAAACTTCAAATATTTTTCTAACAAAACAGTATAAAAAGTTAGTGATTGTCCCCTTTTTCAAAAAATTGTCCCGTTCGAACATTTTTCGTGCAAAAGCGAGTTTTTGGGCTTTCAGCGACCATAACTCACTTCATTTTCATTTCTGTGATGCACTTTTTCATGGGGTGAAACAGGATTTGCTCTTTCTAACAAGCACCACATCGTTTCAAAATCCATTTTCCGAGAAAACTAACCACGTTCAGACATTATTGTTCGTCATATTTTTGAGGGCAGACATTTTCTTCGAGCAGCTTTTCGAGCTTTCACGCAATAATAACTTCCTTTCAAACCTTTGGGAAGGGGCGAAGACATTTTTGAAGACTACGAGACTTCGGCTTCCTTATATGTTTTACCGTTGTCTGGAAGAATCGTCCTCAGAAAATCAGGTCCCGAAGAACTTAAATTTCAGCCCCGAGAAGTCAAACCTTTCATAGGGATGCATTCAACTGTTCTCTATTCCTCAAGAAAACACCGTAATTTGCCTAAAACTGTCTCTCTGTGCATAATAAATCGAATCTAATGCGGTCTGCACAAGCAATTCTTGCCCTCGGATACGCCACGCACGCGCCTGTGGCTGGCAGTCCTCGAAATTGCGACCCCCTTCCGACCAAAATGCGACCCCTTCGTTCGAACAGTTCGAACGGACGGTTGACCCTGCTTTCACCCCATGAAAAAAGTGCATCACAGAAATGAAAATGAAGTGAGTTATGGTCGCTGAAAGCCCAAAAACTCGCTTTTGCACGAAAAATGTTCGAACGGGACAATTTTTTGAAAAAGGGGACAATCACTAAACTTTTTATACTGTTTTGTTAGAGAAATATTTGAAGTTTCTGAAACTTTTTACAGATTTCCAAAATGTCGCATAAAGTTGAAGGTGCGCCTTCTTAGAATTTTGGGTTTTCCACTTCTAACAGAAGTACTTTCCGGAGAGTTAGGCAATCCTTGTAGTTTTCTGAAAGCGCACCTCAGGCACAATCAAAATCTACCTCAACAAGTCAAAAAAATACGTCCCAAGAAAGTTATTCCCTCTAAAATTTTTTCTTCGCCGCGTCCCGTTCTTCCAGCGCCCGGGTGATACCTGCCGCGCTCCAAGGCTGACGCCGCAACGCAGACGCTGCTGCGCGGCGCAGACGCTTTCTGGCGCAACGGATTCATGTCTAGCACTCTTATTAACAAAAACAGGGGGTCGCAACTGGACCCCCTCGAGAGCTAGGGGGTCGCAAAAATCCCGAAAATGTTCGAACGTGACGGTTGACCCTGGGTGAAAGTACAGGATTTGCTCTTTCTAACAAGTTTTAAACCGTTTTTCAAATTCGAGAAAATCACACGTTCGAACATTTTGGGGGTTTTGCCGAACACTTTTTTTGAAATCGCGAGTTTTTGGGCTTTAAGCGGGCATAACTCACTTCATTTTCATTCTGTGATGCACTTTTTTCATGGGGTGAAAGTACAGGATTTGCTCTTTCTAACAAGCACCAAACCGTTTTTCAAAATCCATTTTCCGAGAAAATCACACGTTCGAACATTTTGTTCCCATAGGTTTTTGAGCAGCACATGCGAGTTTTTGAGCTTTCAGCAATAATAACTTCCTTCAAAGAACTTGTTGGGGAGGGGCGAAGACATTTTTGAAGACTACGAGATTTCTGCTTTCTTATGTGTTTTACCGTTGTCTGGAAGAATCGTCCTCAGAAAATTAGGTCCCGAAGAACTTTAATTTCAGCCCCGAGAAGTCAAACCTTTCATAGGGATGCATTCAACTGTTCTTTATTCCTCAAGGAAAACACCGTAATTTGCCTAAAACTGTCTCTCTGTGCATAATTAATCGAATCTAATGCGGTCTGCACAAACAATTCTTGCCCTCGGATACGCCACGCACGCGCCTGTGGCTGGCAGTCCTCGAAATTGCGACCCCCTTCCGACCAAAATGCGACCCCTTCGTTCGAACAGTTCGAACGGACGGTTGACCCTGCTCGGTAGTAGTAGGTGTTATTACTGGTACTTATCAGCAATATCATCCATTTTCGGTGCTGCCTCCATTCCATGAGAGCCTTTAATCGACAACCCAGGAAACAAATAAGCGTCGTACCGGGTAGTCGAACCATGAGCACCTCACCCATCAGATCGTTTCGAGCGATTCTGCATTATGAAAGTGCTCTACTCTTCCGAGTACACCCCGAAAACACGTCACTCTTGGCCAAATTTCAGGACGCGCTCAGTACAGTTTACAACGGCAAATCGCTGATACTTTGATCATCTGCAGTACAAAAGATTTTTTAAAACTGTTATAAAACTTTACACCTTTATGGCCTTTCTTGAAACTTTTTTTAAAATCTTTCTCTGTGCCACTGCTCTAGAAATCATAGCCATATCATAACAAAAAGGTTTTGAGAGCTGCATTGCCTTGATGACTCTTTCGCTCCTTTTGGCATTTCTGAGACTAAGCTTGTGTTCATTTGGCTTCATGCATAGACCTCTACACATGGAAAAATCACTTTGTAGTCTCCGCACGCAAAAATATCCTGTCAGAGAAAACTAGTATACCAACGACGCCGGCCTGCATTTCTAGGAATGCACTTCAATCGCGTTTATGTATCATCTAGCATGAGCTGAACATGACATTGTGCCACCATCCCGGACATCTAAGCTAATATTGGCCAAATCTCCATGTATAAACGTTTTCTGTTCTGCTCGAAATGCACACATTTGAGTTTTTGATTTGGCATGCGGTTTCAGCAAACAAATGTTGCCTAACAGTGTCGCTCTAGAAAGATGAAATAAACTATATATCTGTGTTGCAAGGCATTTAATACATTGATCAACACGTTTTCATCCTTCGAAATATCACAGGGAAATGCTGACACAGTTGAAAATTGTCGGTCAGTAATTCAAACGGTCACGAAATGTTTTGCCTTTAACGAGAGCTGATTTCTCCACCTCCATAAGTAGTTCTTGAACCCACACTTGGCAAGTGGGATTGAAGTCCGGCGACGATACAGATGTGAGAAGGCCGTAAGTTTTAAGCTCTCCCGCTGAAGGACTTTGAGACAGTAATGTACTGAGATAGTAGACCATAAACGGAAACTTCTCTGGACAGGCACAAATTCTTCTAGTATTGGAATTTCGCAAAAACCTACAGTACGCTTGGAAGTCTTGCTCCTTGGAAACTATGCAGAACGTGGGAAATGTAGTCAAAAGTCAAAAGTAAAGAATCCACCGCCATAGAATGTTGCCAGAATGGAAAGAAGGTTCCCAATTAGAAGAGATTCAATATGTTTGAATGCCTAACTTCTTTCAGAGATAACCTTCAAAAAGAAATATTCAACTACTATCACTTTTTTTAGCTTGGGGGAAACGAAAATTGCTCA